TGTGATCTCTCTCTGTCAAATAAATAAATAAAATCTAAAAAAAAAAAAAAATCTATTAAATGCCAGACATTGTTCTAGGATCATTGGGGAGGATAAAACAAAGTCCCTACCCTCGTGGAACTTACATTCTACTGGGGAAGACAGACAATAAACAGCAGTGTAATATGTAAGTCACTCGTATTGACAATCACATTATAATATACTCAGTGAAAAATAGAGCAGGATAAGGTAAATTTGGAGTGCCACTGGGAAAGGGGCACTGCATTTAAAATAAGTTGCTCAAAGGAGGCCTTACAGAGGTGAGATTTGAGCAAAAGACTGAAGGAAATGAAGGAATTAGTAATAGGGCTGTCAGGAGGAAGGGTACTCCAGGAAGAGGGAATTGCCTGTGCAAAGACCCTGAGGTGGGAGAGTGTCTGGCACATACAAGGGGATAGTAAGGAGGCCAGGATGGCAGGAATCGAGTGCACTAGGAGGAGGGTAGTAGGAGAGAAGGTGGAGAGGTCATGGATGCCAGACCATGTAGATTTCTAGGCCACTGTAAAGGTTTTTTTCTCCAACTCAGGGTTTCTCAACCATGACATACTGCCATTTGACCAGGTAACCGTTTGGGGGATGTCCTATACGTTGCAGGATGTTTAGCAGCATCCCTGGCCTCTACCCATTAGATGCCAATGGCACCCTCCCTCCAACTGGGACAACCAAAAATGTCTCCAGATGCCACAGATGTCCCCGGGAAAGGGGAATCACCTCTGACTGGAAACCACTGCTCTAAGCGAAATCGGGACACAGTGGAGTTTTAGCAGCAGAGGGGCGACACCACCTGATTTATATTTTTGAAAGATCACTCAGGCTGCCCTACTGGAAATCAACTGGGATAGGAAGCAAGAAAGCAGCAGGGAAGATCCTTCAGGACAATCCAGGGGCTTGGAACAAAACATGTCATGGCAGAAGTGGTGAGAAGTGGTTCGGCATTGGCTCTATCTTGGAGAATGCCTGTGAGACGTGAAAGAAAGGAGTAAAGGATGGCTAGAAGCTTCTTGGCCTAGTCAACTGGAAGGATGGAGCTGCCGTGAACTGAGATGAGGACCGCACTGTGCAGCCAGGTCCTGGGTGGGACATCCGTAGGTCAGATTTGGGCACGAGAGTGTGAAATGAAATTCCAGTAACCCAAGTGAGACAGTATGAAGCACTGAACCGGAGAGTGACAGCAGTGATGCACCAACGTTCTCTGTATTCAAGAGATGGTCATTTTGATAAAAAAACATAGGATTTAGCACTCAGCTGGAGGTGGGAGAAGGGAAGTAGTTGTTGAAGAAGACCCTGTGATTTTATGGCTGGATGATGCCGGTGGTAGAATGAGGATGAACGCCTGAAGAGAGAAACAAGCTGGCAAAAGGAGCAGGTGGGAAGGGAAAGAGGACAGAGTCTTCCTGCCAATCCTATGGATTGAGGTCCAAGTGGACAGTGAGAGGAAAAGTCTTGAAGAGAGTTCTTTTTTTTTTTTTAAGATTTTATTTATTCATTTGACAGAGACACAGCGAGAAAGAAAAGACAAGCAGGAGGAGTGGGAGAGGGGGAAGCAGGGAGCCTGATCCTGGATTCCAGGATCATGACCCAAGCCGAAGGCAGACACCTAATGACTGAGTCACCCAGGCACCTGCAGAAGAAGAGAGTTCTGATCTGGTGATCAGGAGAGGTCATGAGGCTAGAGAGAGAAGGAAAAGCGCCACCCCCCCCCCGCCCAGGAGTAACAGGTGTATAGAGGGAGCCTGAGAAAATGGAACAAGGAGGCCAAGAGACAGAAGGAGCCATCAAAGACAATCAAGGAAGGAACAGTGCATGGAAGGTCAGCAGTGAGGAAGGTTCCAGGAAAATCCAAATAAACAAAAACTCAAATTAGCTAATGCTAGGCTATAATACCTGTAGCAATACATGAGGTTATCTATGCTAAAGCCTAAAGCCAAACCACTCTGCTACATTAAAATTATAATTTATTGATAGGTGGTTATTTAAATCTACCTATAGATCTCATAAAATCTAAGCTTGTAAAACCACAAATAATGTTTATCAAACATCATACATAACAAAGAACTGCTAGCATACATTACCAAATTTCACAGAAAATCTGTTCTTACTTACGTTTGTCTTGAAGATGGGACCATAGCCTGGATGGGCCCAGGAGCGCTAAGTTTTTTTGTACTATATGCCTTTGCTATCACTACTTATTTATGTATGTCCTTGGCTTTTACTAATATGTCCTTTATCCACTGTTTTGCAGACCAAGAAACGTGTGAAAAAAAGAAAAAATTCTAAACGCCTTTAAAGAATCATTCATAAATTATGTATTCATTGAATGACAAGTAGAGCTAAAACTTGAACAACACAGCTCCATTTATATGTGGGTTTTTTTTCCCAATTGGTACATTACAGTATTATAAATGTATTTTCTCTTCCGTATGATTTTCCTAATCGTATTTTCTTTTCTCTCGTTTACTTTATTGTAAGAATATAGTATGTGATACATATAGCATATAAAATAGGTGTTAATTGACTATGTTATTGGTAAGGCTTTGATCAACGGTAGGCTATTAGAAGTTAAGTCTTTGGGTAATCAAGTTACAGGTAGAATTTCAACTGGGCAGGATGTCAGTGCCCCTAATCCCCGTGCTGTTCAGGGCTCAACTGTAGTTTGAACTCTGCCTGATTAAGCCATTTATACATATGCAAAACAGACAGAAAAAAAAAAAAGTACTCTAACTAAAGGTTACAATTACACTGAAAAAATTCCTTGATTCTCATCAGACTGATCTTTCGTTTTCCGCCCCCTCCTGAGTTCAAAGGAAGCCAGTCTTTTGCAAACCCCTGAAATGTAAATCAGAGGTTATGCTGTCTTGTCCCAACTGGAAAACTGAGCGGCTTCCTCTCACCTACTTCTTCCCCAAGATCATGATCCCAATCCGGGGTTCCCAGAGATTTCAAAATGTATTCCTGGTAGCTGTTTTGTGTGCTGCAATTAAGTGCCCCAGTGCTGCCAATGAGATGAAATTAATGTCCTCTTCCCATCAGATTTCCAAAATATTCAAGCTCACTCATTCACTCACAATTCACTCAGTTTTTACTGAGTCCCAACTGTGAGTGGTCACAACCTTTTGACTGGCTCCAGGGAGAACAGGAAACGTGTGTACAGGCCCAGAGAACGGTGCCCTTGCTGATCTTGGCCTTTCCACGAATTTCAGCCCTGGTTCTGACATAAAAATTACCTGAGAAAGGCCCCAGAGAGCTGAGAGGTTTTCCATGTCCAACATATCTGTGAAGAGTGACCATTTTGAGGGATGTGCAGGGACAGATAAGGGGTAGGGTCTGGAGCAGCTTCCTTCATGAGAAATCTGCGTATTCCTCTCCTTATTCCAGCAAGGTTGTTTTTTTTTTTTTAATTCTTATTTATTTATTTGACAGACAGAGATCACAAGTAGGCAGAGAGGCAGGTGGCGGTTGGCGGGGGTTGGGGGGACTGTTAAGCAGGCTCCCCGGGGAGCAGAGAGCCCGATTGTGGGGCTCCATCCCAGGACCCCGAGATCATGACCTGAGCCAAAGGCAGTGGCTTTAACCCATTGAGCCACCCAGGTGCCCCTCCAGCAAGGTATTTAATAACAAAAAGGAGATGGCCAGATTAGCAGTAAAGGAAGAAGGAGAAGCAGAAAGCAACCTAATTTTCAGAGGCTGGGAGAGAACAAGTTCTAACCGAATTAAGATGTACACATTTACTTGTATTTCTCAAACTTTCCCAGGGACAATACAGGGGAGGGGAAGGCACTTACATTAATATTAAGGAGTTGCCACCAGCCTTAAGGTAGTAGCATTTAATACTGAATGCCGCAAAGACTCGAAACTATCAAAAATATTTGCACTTCAGCTGTTCTCCAGTTCTGGGGCGGGGCACAAAACAAAAAGACCAGAAGTAATTGCAGAATGGGGAAAGCTCAGATTTGTCCACATGACACAGCTGCGATGCTGATCCCCTGCCTTGGAGGTGGTTGTGACTCCGTCCAGACCCTGGTATAGTCGGGGTGGGGGACGGGGGGGGAATACAATCCAGACCCCAGTTAGTCCCAGTTTGCTGCGTCTTGGTTTCCGGAACTGCAATTTCAGATTTTGTAGTCCTTACCCCTGTCTACAGCAAACTGGACTTTCCCGAGCTAATTCACATCCAACCACCCCTGGCAACACTCCTTCCTAGGGAACTGCTCTCACGCCCCACCCCCAAATTCCCGCAGACAGCTGTTTCCCGGCAAGTGCAAGAAGGTGCTGCCATCTGGTTGGTGACTCCCACAGTAGAAGAGGGCTGCGTGGGGTGGGGGGGAAGGGCAATATGCCGTGCCGGGACCCCGGTAATACTCGCAGGACCAACAGCTGTCCGGGCTCTGAGACCTACCAACAGCTGTCCGGGCTCTGAGACCTGGCGTGACGGGGCTGTGTGAGGACGGTCCCGGCCCTCCCTGAGTCGGCCTGCCCCCGCTGTGGCCCTCACTCCAGTCCGCCACCGGCCCTTACCTTAACGTTTCTCCAAAGCACGAAGTTCAGCGGCTAGCTTTAGCCGGGGTACCCGCCGCCAGTGCGCCTGGCCACCGTGGCCACGCCCCGTCTTCGCGCCCACAGCCCAGGCCACGCCCCCTCCAAGCCTCTCCCCGCAAGGCCGGGACCACGCCCCCTCACGTCCTTACGGACCGCCCCGGCTTACGCCCCTCCAGGCCAAGCTGTCTGTGGCCGGTGTCCAGACCTCGCCCCCAGCCCCGTCACAGCCACGCCCCCTCCCCCGGGCCTCGCCTCTGAGCTCCGCCTTGGCCCCGCCTTCCACCTTGGTTACGCCCAAGCGCTCCGCTAAGGCCCGGCTCCTCCCGCAGCGCCAAGTCCCTAGGGCGCCCTCCCACCAGGCGGGTCTTGGCCGCCGGCTTTCGAGGTCGCGTGGGCGGCCCCCCTTGTCTCTAGAGAAACCCTCCCGGGTCTGGGAATTGGGCACTGGCGTCATTTTGTCGGGTGAAATCAGACTGCAGGCTTAAGAGCCTGGTCTAGAGAATGACTTTCCTCAGGTTTTCTCATTTCCAGACATCAAGATTGAATGTACTGAGAACCGGTCACTCAGTAGGGAAATGCAAATATTGGACGAGTCACACAACCGTGTTCCTTCCTGTTATTTTCATGTCCACTTTACCCGAGTTTCTTGGAGCCAGTTTTCACAGCTGAACTCGAATTTGGAACTGCTCCCAGCCAGTTTTCACATCCTCTAAACCAGAATTATGGACCGACGTTCCTTCTAGTCCCTCAGCCAACCTTAAGTGCTAGACAGATGAGCGGAGTAAACAGAACTCCCGTATTTTCTGGTATCTCCTACAGAGGACATTGCTTAGGCACCCAGTGAGCTCTGGCTGTCTAGGGCCTGTGGAGACACGACCACACCAAGACGGAAACTCTGCTTGCAAGCCCTGTGTGTGCCCTAAGATCATTCTGCTGGCTTTCCTCTTTCCACTCTGGGTCCACAAGAGAAATGTGAAGGTTACAACCAGCTTTGCTACCCCTGTGCAGAAATCTCTGATTCATTCATTCAATCCAATTTTTTTTTAGCACCCGCTCCCCCAAAAAAGTAGATAAGCCTCAAGGAGCTTTCAGTCTGAAGTTGTCTTGTCCCAACTTGGGTTTGGATGTGACAAGAAATGATGAGAAAGTTAGGAAAGATGTGGCAATGGGCTGATAGGTGGAAAAGGATTTGGTAAGCACAGGTCTTCTTTTTTTTTTTTTTTTTTTTAAGATTTTATTTATTTGACAGAGAGAGATCACAAGTGGGCAGAGAGGCAAGCAGAGAGAGAGAAAGGAGGAAGCAGGCTCCCTGCAGAGCAGAGAGCCCGATGCGGGACTCGATCCCAGGACCCTGGGATCATGACCTGAGCCGAAGGCAGAGGCTTAACCACTGAGCCACCCAGGTGCCCCAGCACAGGTCTTCTTGATTTGATTAGTGGGAATATTTTAAGGAAGCAAACACAGGAAGTCACTTTTATAGGACTTACTATACTTCTTTACACTATAAATTCTCAATAAATCTTCACTGAATACTTCGCCTTTTCACATGTGCAGAAAGATAACATTTCTTTGTTCCCAGCAATAAGGCTTGCTACATTGATTTCTTCATATGACATCAACACACATTTTGTGATAGCATATTTAGCTACTTTTTCGTTTCTTCCTACCCTCCATTCCATTTCTGGCTGGAAGATAGTGGGAATATTCAAAATGCTGTGCTACAAAGAACACAGAGAAAAGAACAAGTTTAACAGAACAGTGTATTAAGCTCATCCTGACCCGGAGAACCCTGCTTCCTTTATAAAATGTTTCAACTGTCAGTCATTTTTGCCTGAAACACGGACACACAGAAATTGGTCCAAATACAGCCTGTATAAATTACTGAGCTGATTTTTACAGTGAGTTCTCCCTCACCTCCTTCCACTTCTTTCCAATTTGAGGCAGCTTACGAAAATATTGACATTACTGGATGAAACACCTAGCTGAAGGAACCAGGGAAAGGGGAACTTAATACAAGGAGATTAAAGCAGCCAATGATAAGATTAGCATTTAAGTACGCAGGCCACCAGCTTTAGAAGAGTTAAATTGGGATGAAGATTTGCCCAAGCTTTCCAACAGTATTAGAAAAGAGGAAATAGCAACTGTTTTAAGGTTTTCTGGTGTTCTTTTTTTTTTTTAATTTTATTTTTTTTATGTGGCAGAGAGAGAGATCACAAGTAGGCAGAGAGGCAGGCAGAAGAGAGAGAGAGGGAGAAGCAGGCTCCCGGCTGAGCAGAGAGCCCGATGTGGGGCTCGATCCCAGGACCCTGAGATCATGACCTGAGCCAAAGGCAGTGGCTTAACCCACTGAGCCACACAGGCGCCCCGGTTTTCTGGTGTTCTTAAGATGAAAATCAACCTTAGTTTTATTTTTTTAGAAACACAGTTTTTCTTGAATTTCAGTCTTCAGAAAAATCCTGTTTCCTCATATAGCTGATGTGGTGAGCTAAGTGGGAAGTAAGCCTCGTGAGGAGTTAAACACAGGTTCCCTCACTGTGAGCCGTTGGCACAATCACAAAGCACAGTGCATTAAATCAATTTCTGTGAACCATCGAAACTTTTCTGTTCATCCAAGTACACAGGCCCTCCAGGGTTAGCATTTTCATAATCTTTCCCTAAGACGGGAAATGGGTGTCAGCTCACATGTCGGCTTTGAACCATTTGTGGTGCCTGCCTGAATAACTATGCTGAACTCCGTACTTTTCGTCTGGGCACAGAAGGAAAACGTTCTGTGACTGATTAACAATGTCCATCACGGATGCAAGATGGATGAGTGGCTGCGTGCAAAACCAATCCGATAGCTCCAATTTGCAGAAATAGAGGGGTCTGTGCATGTAGAACTTTTGTGTAGTCACTGCAAATGGACAATCCTCGTTGAAGGGCTTTTGATAAATATCCAACAGTAAAGTTCAAGTCATCCTCTCTCAATCTGTCCCACTCACACTAGTCTCCCCTGTTCATTCCTACCTCAGGACATTGCCTTCTTCGCTGTTCCCATTGTTTGGACCACTCACTCGTTTGCCTACATTTACATGACTGGGTGTTGCTCATCATTCAGTTCTGAGCTAAAATGTTGGGTCTTTAGGGCACTTGGGTGGCTCAGTGGGTTAAAGCCTCTGCCTTCAGTTCAGGTCATGATCTTGGGGTCCTGGGATCGAGCCCCGCATCGGGCTCTCTGCTCATCAGGGAGTCTGCTTCCCTTCCTCTCTCTCTGCTTGCCTCTCTGCCTACTTGTGATCTCTGTCTGCCAAATAAATAAATAAAATCTTTTAAAAAAATGTTGTGTCTTTAGAGCTGTCTTTCCTGATAACCATAGGTCAAGTTGTATCCAGAGCCTCTCTACTGAACATAGGGATCACTGGGGTATCATGGTACAGGGCATACTCTGCCTCAGGGATTCTGGAGTGTGACCCGAGAGTCTGCATTTCAAGCAATCTCTCAGGAGATGCAAAACTGGTGTTCCACAAAACACACTTTAAGGGGCTCCTGGGTGGCTCAATGGGTTAAAGCCTCTGCCTTTTGGCTCGGGTCATGAGGGTCATGATCTCAGGGTCCTGGGTCCCTCTCTCTCTGCCTGCCTCTCTGCCTGCCTCTCTGCCTACTTGTGATCTCTGTCAAATAAATAAATAAAATCTTTAAAAACACACACACACTTTAAGTAGCAGCCCCGCCTCTCTACCTCTGTTACATTGTCTGTTTCATTTTCCTTATGGTGTCTCACCACTCAAAATTATGTATTTTCTGGTTTGTATATTGGATTGTCTGTTGGTCGGCTGTTTGCTATAATGTAAATTCCCTAAGACAGGGACTTTGACCGGTTTGTTCAATGTTGTATGCCCAGCACTTAACCCAGTACTGACACCCTGGTAGGGGCTCTGTAAATACTGGTGAATAAATGATATTCGAGGTTCATTGATGCCTTCATCTCTTCAGCTCCTGCTTATTGAATACTTCAGTCACTGCTCATTTATAGACCAGGAAGTAGACAAGAAATGGAAAATGGCAGTGCTCCTGAAGTACCAGTCCAGGAATTGCTGGAACTGGAACCAGGAACTGGTCCAGGCTGAGATAAGATACTTGAGCCAGAATATAAATCTGATATGTCATTAAACATAGTGTTCAGTTAGATGACTTTTTTCCCCCCTAGCAAGGCTTCTTGATGACAGCAGCAATGAGTTGTTTTTTCCTTCCAGGGAAAGAAATTCTGGGGAGAACGAAGATTTTGAGAAATAACCGAGAATTGTGGGAAAGGCAAAGAATTTGGAGAGACAAGATGTGATGGTTAATTTTATGTGTCAGCTTGGCTGGACCATAATGTTTAGATATTCTGTCAACATTGTTCTAGATGTTACTATTAAGATATTTTGTTTTGTTTTTGTTTTGGATGAGATTAACATTTGAATTGGTGGACTTTGAGTAAAGCAGATTACTCTCCATATTGTGGGGAGCCCCATTCAATCAATTGAAAGCCTTAATAGAACAAAGACTGACCTCATCTGGAGGAATTCTGCCAGCCAAATGTTTGGACTCAACTCTACCCTGAGTCCCAGCCTGCAAGCTTACTGCGGATTTTGGACTTAACTCCATAATCATTTGAGCCAATTTCTTAAAATCAATCTCTCTCTCTCTCTCTGTGTGTGTGTGTGTGTGTGTGTGTGTGTTTATTCAGTTTCTCTACAGGACCCTCAGGAATACAACAAGGTATTACAGAAAAGACTGAGAACCGGCCCCTTCACCCCGGCCTTGGCACCTCAGCTCAGTCTTAGTCCTTAGGATATTCCCTTGGCCACTCCTTTGCTCCTTCATGGCAATTCCCATCCCTCTTGAGTCATACCCTCTACTCTGGCTGACCGAACTTTTCTTATCTGAGCCACTACCCACCCCTTCCCTCTGCTACATTCTTCCTGGTCAACACTTGTGCTCCCTCTTGGCCACCACAGTCTGGGAAGTGGCTAGCATTCCCTCTAAGCCATGTCCTTTTCCTTCTTATTGCCA